CCGGCCCCTGCCGAACGGAGTTGCCGGCGGAGCGAAGCGGAGCTGGCAACTTCGTTTGGCGGAAGGGCGGGCCTGCTTGTTGTTTTAAGCAAAACGTTTTTCTCATTTTTCGGTAGATTTTTGTGTCAAGTTTCATCTGATCAGATTGTAAAAGACTAATGGGTGGAGGAAAAGCGCTCGCTAGCGAGCAGAGAAAGGGAGGCCATGAAACGATGTAAAGGTTCGCGTTGCACAACATCCTCACATGTAGAACAAGTGGAAAGCGTTTGAGACTTATAACAACCATTCCCCTTTGTCCAAGAGCAGCCTAAAATAAGGGCGATGATTCGAATCACAAACGCCCAACCAGCACAAACTCCGCTGAAATAGTAATGGGCTACAACTAAGCAGAATTTCTGATCGGCCAGTAGGTAGCCAGGTGCCAGGCGTATGATCAAGTCTCGGACTGCACTTTCGTACCAAACACCGTTGGATAGACCACAAAATTGAACATACAAACCACTATTCTTCCAAGCATCAGTTTAAAACTGTACTTGATGCTGTAGATTTTTCTCACTGTGTGCGACCTAACTCACCCTGAATCTTCTGTTTCCAACTGGCGCCTTGGCGTACGGCACCCCGAAGAAGGCCGCGTAGTCCCTGGGCAAGGAGCCGCTCCGGAGCCCGGCGCTCGTCAGCTTCCTTCCGAGAATGGAGGAGCCCTGGTCGGTGGTGACGACGGGAAAGTCGTCGATCAGAGCAAGGGCGGGCGTGAGCAGGGCGGTGACCACAAGGGCCAAGGGCAGGGCCAAGGGTAGGTCACGGGAGGCGGGGGACGGCATGGTGAGCCGTGAGCGAGATCGTAGCGACAAGAAGTCGGTCGGTGCGGTGACTACATCCACTGGTCAGAGATGTGGTATAAAGTGTAGGTAGAAAGGGGGATGGGGCTAGATTTCGTGCTACGGAGAAAAGGTGCTTCCAAGACGGACTCGTTCACGCGTTCACTTCTTCTTTAGAACTATCCTCAGCGCAACTGAGCAGAAGTTCCACAGAAGAGGCTCCCTACTCAGAACCACTTGACAGATGACCACCAGATGACAGGGAGATTTTGGCTGAGCGATTAGCGAAGCCTATTACTCTACTGCCCGAAACAGTTTCATTCTGTTTGTGTGTCTGTGAGTCTGTTTGTGCACGATAACTGGTCCAGGAATCGGCACAAGGGAATGACTGCAAAACCATAAGGTTTCAGGAAGCACAAAATACTGTTTTACGCTACATTTTCAAAAAAGTTGTGAACTTTTATGTTTCATTCTTACTTTTTAAAGAGAGTTGATATGGACCCTATCTAGATTAATAAAAGTTCGACACTTGAAACCTATACACACGGAGTTCGTGGTGGCTCCGTATAAACACGCAGTTCCCGGGGGCTCGGTACAAACACGGAGTTCAGCAGGCCGCCGTATAGCGTGGTAACTATGTTTTTTTGAAAATTTCGAGTTATGAAGTGCGTCGGATAGAGGAAACCAAGGGCTATCGATCAGCGAAAACCGCATTTCGATATGTCAAATAGTTCAAAAGTAATTCTGGTCTAAAAATCCAGCCGCCCATAAGGCGCAATGTAAATCCAAAACTTTGAAGCGCTATATCTCAGAAGTGACTTTCAAGCACTTACGACGTTATACGGGGAGCCGCTGAACTGCGTGTCTGTACAGAGCTGCCTGGAACTACGGGTTTATACGGAGACTCCACGAACTCCGTGCTTGTAGGTTTAAAGTGTCGAGTTATCTCCCGTAAAACTTTGCGTAAAGGGAGATAAGTCGAGTTACACCTAATAAACTGGGCCTAATGGAGTTTGGAGGCAAGTTCTTCAATTTCTTCCAAAGGAGTTACAGTATCGCATCTCTATCAATTCGAGTTGTCTCCTTATTCATGCCTTATTCAAGTAAAGCCTAGAGGCAGAAAGGGATAAGTCGACTTGGCTCATTTTTCATTCCGTCATATCTCAGGAACTGTGGCACGTCGGCAAACAGTTCTTTTCCGGAAAATGTGCCTGTTGTACCAGGAGGCAGCAACGAGGCGCTTCTGAGTGACCCCATGCGGTAGCGAGGCTCGGCCCCCCACCACCGGCCTCGGCGCGCCGCGGCCGGAGCCGGGCGAGCCGCGCCTGACTGCAGCGCTTCAGTAAATTCAACCATGTTCTATCAAAACGTCTGAAAAACTATGACAACGAGTAATGAATCAAAAGGGGAGTTAAGCTACATCCCAGTGTGCCTGCGAACTAGTTTCGGTCGTCCGAAGTGAGTTTAAAGATAGTCTGAAGACAGAGCAAGCTCGACGTGTCCCGGCCGGCCCGTGCACGCATTTCGTATTGTTAAAATTTCTCCGCGATTTCGCTACGGATCAAATTTCTGCGGTGCT